ACAGATCTATGATGGATCTCCAATATCCCATGTTTTTGGAGACAACAAATAGATGGGAGTAAAATTCTGGTTCAGTGGCACCACCCATTCGATAGCCCCTTTGCATTAGAAGATCTCAAACAGACTCGGGAAGATGACTGGATGAGGTATGATCCCAAGGAGGAGAAAAGGAGATCTGGGAAGTGGATAGAGAGGGAACAGAACTGAAGGCAGAAACCTTTAGATAGAACCCTTAGAATCCATGGAACTCTTGTGAAGTGTAGCCAGAAAGATATAAACTAAACATACTTGGAGAAAGTACTTATTACTAACAAAACTTACAAAGTTTTATCTACAAAGTACATAAAAATAACAAACCTGCAAAACTATGAAATTCGACTTAAAACATAAAACAATAAGCAACACCTAAAGTACAAAACCACTAAAGGAACTTAGAAGATAAAAGATCGTTAAATACTGAACACATAAGTCCATCCAAAGAACCTATAAGACAAAGGATATGAAAGTAAAACCTACCCTGAAAAGCATGAGAATAAAAATGCACCCAGTTAACAATAACAAAATTTGACTCAAATCTTATCCCCACTTAGATGTGACTAGAAGTAAATAAAAAGGAACTTATAAACTAAATAACATAACCAGTAAAAAGAATTTCAAATAACGAATCAACACACCCACAAAATTACCTGAAGGTACAATTATCCAGACAGTAAAGATCGTGCAAAACCAGTACATATACCGAAAATCAAACAAAAACAATGTATAATCAAACCCTAAATGCAAATTTAAACAAAAGTAACTACAATGGTAAAAGAATTGTAAAAATCTAATTCACGAAGTACTGAGCAGGAAAGACATGAAAGACCTACATTATCGAGTGCGGAAATTAGGTCCATCCACACAAGCACACAAACTCGCTAAACAGGGGTATACCCATGATTTACCACATATTTCCTGGAATAAAGAACAATACCTAATCCAGAAGATTACATTGAGGTGTGGTAACATGTGGAAAGTGCCCTAGAAAGAAATTTTCATACAGAAGTTATATCCTTCCTCACAAGAAATCATCAGCCGAACATAAAACACAAACTTTCTGCGAACTAAAACCTGTGCTTCCCCAGCAAACATTGTCGACCATGAGACCTAGGGACTCATGTCAGAACCATTGTCTACTAATGCAGGAATTTTATCATCCATCATAGTAAATCTTGAATACATATTGTTGCGTCAGCGAGGTCACGTGATGCTAGTAACAAGTCGTATTCTCGAAGCTTCGTGAATCCTCGGGAGGTTACTAGATTTCGGTATTCTTTTATATATAAGACGTTCACAATGTGACGGGACAACAGAGGTATTGAGTAATTAAACTGCAGTCAGAGAGTGTGTAACTGAATTGAGTATTGTTGAAGTCGAGCACGTGAGACGTTTGTTATAGCCCGACTGTTGAAATTAAGTGTATCGCAAAGTTATATTCAGAAAGAATAAACCAGTTTTATTTAAGAAAGGACTTGTGTCGCTAAAGTTTCATCGGAACGTATTTACGGAAAATTAACTAATGAACGGAGACGTAACAATATGAACAAATTAGAATTAGGAAAACAGAAATATTTCTATAACAAACGAGTAGAAACAATGGAAATCAAACACAAAAGGTCAAAATTAAAGATGAAACTGATATACTTTTATGATCAAGCACAATCAAAATTTTGTAGTTACATGGAGAATGAGTTAAAACACATGTCTATACACTAGAATTCTAATCGAGAAAGTGAGGATTGTGCTAGAATAGTAGAAGAAGCTAGCTGCACTAGTATAGATGGTGCAGTATGATTGGTGGAGGGTAGTCACATGATCAGCACATGTTCTGAAATGGCATGAAAATGAAGGGGTATTTCTTATTTAGGTAAATGTCCTAGTACTGTTTTGGAAGGTTTTATTAAAATACCTTAATAATCCATCCATGGAGTGTAATTTGAAAAATTTAAAACTGCTTCATGAAACATAATATCAGATATAGTTATATCTATAAGATGTTTTAATTCCATAATTAAGAGCAATTTGTATCTTGTCTTGATATAAGATGTTTAGATTGGCCAAGGTACATACTGGGTGATTCAGAAAAGTCTGTTGTAAGACAAATAATTGTTTTGGTGATAATGAAAGAGCCAACCCTGTGACAGTATCGAGTTCATGTACTTCAAAACTTTTATTAATATGCAATATACACCAAAAATGTCAATTGCAAATGGGTTGATAACAATAAATGAAACATTTTACATAAAAATCACCCAAATTCCTCCAAAACAACAACAACTGTATTATGAAATAATGGTAAACATTCAATAGTTGTTTTCAAAGTGCTGCCTGTATATGACAAATATCAATATGGTGGCTTCATTGTAGATACCAGTTGCTGTTCATAGTCCATCACATATCATATATGTATAAGTGAGCCTGTAGTATGCAACTGCTCACACAAACTTTTCCTATCATCTGATATGAAGGAGGATGATCAACTGGGAATCTATTTGGCATACAAGCTGGCAGCAGCTCAGACATTCTAATAACACTCTGATTGTAGGACCATGTTCACTGTTATCCAACTTAATACTATGACATTATTTAGATGATTTTACAAGTAGCTGTATCGCAATGCTTGTCTGCTTGCTTATGTAGGGTTTTTTATTTTGATATTTTTTAAACTTATTAACTCTTCAAAGATGCAATTATATACTTGTGCAAAATTCTTACTTGTATCTCAAACCTAGGTTTATGTAACTTTTGCTATGGTAGGATTTTGATTTTCTGTGGCACACCACCATATGTATGGAAGGGATATATTTGTACCTCTAACTACTGTTCCTGAGAAGGAATTTTGGTAATTTTTGGTTTAAAATGTGTCAGTTGTAATTGTGTACACCTCTGCCATTAAAATTTAGGGTGTATGATGCATATTAATAAAATTTCCAAAAGAAATGAGTCACGTGACTTTGGATGTCCCCAATGATATTGTCAGGGGATAAGCTCTGAACACCTCATTCTGTACTGATTGAAGTAGTCATATATTTCACTAGTTTAGAATATTATCATTATTAGGTATTTTCACAAAATATTTTTCTGAATATATGTTCTATTTCTGCGTGTAGTTATGACATCCTCTTTGACTGGGTATCTCAGAGTATTAAACATGTGCTAATCCTTTTACACGGATAAAGAAAACATACTATAACTTGTGTTCTTAAGTCTCAATCTAATGTATATGTGTTTCTGCAAGGACTTCTTGAAAAACAGCTTATTCAAACAGGCAATACAAAAATTTGTGCAACTGACTTCTTGGCTTAAGACTGCATGCAGACCATTGATTGAAGTATGTAACCAGTGGTCTTTGTTTGGCTACAGAATTTAAGTCATTTTTTTCCCACAGTTCAGCCTGTTTTGGGTCTAGCCTTAGTCTCCTGGGCTAGCTGATCTCTTGAGATCAAAACTATCATTAACAGCAAGGGTACCCAACTGATGAAACAATGCATATTCTAATCATTATAAGTAATATAGTTTTGAACATTATATTTACTTAGCTATTCACACTACTAGGTCTATATATATATATATATATATATATATATATATACTTATTATTAGTAGTAGTAGTCTTGTTTTAGATA